TTTTACTGCAAGTGGACTATTGGTCGTTGTAACACATACAGAGTCCTAATCCGTCCTCGTTATGGTAAAAGCTAAAGAATGTCATGAATCATCTCAGAGACCGAAGAGTACCGATGCCCAATCTCAAATTGCAACTTAGCATCCATAATGAACCTGATTTGGGGAGGACCATGTCAGATCCCTTCTATTATTGATTACAAGGAAGGGTTTCCTTTTGAATAATGTTTTTGGTTACGCTGTAATGCACAAAGGCATATTCAATCAGCATCAGTTATCGGAGGGCTTCTTAACCTACTGAGAAATCAATCAGTGGAGGTCAATGTTGCTGCACTAAAGCACATTTATACCGCTAGACTTCCAGTGTATGATGCCTATGATAGGCTGAAAAATGTCCATGAGTGGCTGCTGAAAATCCTAAGCTCTTTAGGAGCCCTCCGCAGTTTGATGTGGTCGAAATCAGAAGATTGGTCATTACTCCAACCAAAGCTTACTGTCTTCTCGGAAGTTGAGCTTTCTAATAGGGTTCTCAGGAAATATAAAGATGTTGCTGATCGGTTTTTAAGGGTCACATTTATGGATGAAGGCATGCGGATGATTGCAAATGTTCTCACTTTCTACAATGCTGCAATTGTAAGGGAAGTGACATCTACCTCGTTTTCTCGCAAAACAGGAGTCTTCAAAAGGGTAAGGTCTATTCTTACAGATGGATTTTACTTGTGTGGTCGCAAATACTCTTTCCTTGCTTTCTCGGCCAATCAATTGAGAGATCGTTCTGCATGGTATTTCGCTGAAGATGGGAAGATAAATGTGAGTCAGATTACAGCTTGGATGGGGAAGTTTACAAACCGGAATATTGCTAAATGTGCTGCCAGGATGGGTCAGTGCTTCTCATCAACATATGCAACGGTAGAAGTTCCTCCAACACAGGTTAACAGGAATCTTCCAGATATAGAGAGGAATGGATACAAATTCTCAGATGGGATTGGCAAGATAACTCCCGATCTTGCAATAGAAGTTGCTCAGAAATTGAAGTTGGACTTAAATCCTCCTGTGCTTATCAAATTAGATATGCAGGTTGTAAAGGGGTCGTGGCTTGTTGGCCAGAACAAGGTAATGGAGTTCGTCTTTCATTACGATCCAGTATGATTAAGTTCCAGTCTAACCACACAACTCTGGAAATCTGTTCTTGGACAAAATTTCAGCCTGGCTTCCTGAACAGGCAAATTATTATATTGCTTTCAACACTTGGTGTGCCAGATGAAGTATTTTGGGGAATGCAACACGCCATGGTTTCTAAGTTGGACAAAATCCTTGTGGACACTGATGCAGCATTTGAAGTCCTCACTTCATCATGTGGTGATCTAGGGCATACACCGGCAATAATGTTGAGTGCAGGTTTCAAGCCTCAGACAGAACCTCACTTAAGAGGAATGTTGATTGTGTAAGAGCATCTCAGCTTTGGGGTCTTAGGGAAAAGACTAGGATTTTTGTTAATTCGGGCAGGTGGCTAATGGGTGTTGGATGAACTAGGAGTGCTTGAACAAGGTCAGTGCTTTATCCAAGTGTCTAATCCATCTATAGAAAACTGTTTCGTAAAACATGGCTCTAGGTTCGCTGAGACAAGAAAAAATTTGAAGTAATTAAAGGGCTGGTGGTTGTAGCTAAGAATCCTTGTCTTCACCTGGAGATATAAGAATTCTAGAAGCAGTTGATGCCCCTGGCTTACACCACTTGCATGACTGCCTGGTCTTCCCCCAAAATGGTGAGAGACCCCATACGGATGAAGCTTCCGGAAGTGATCTTGATGGGGACCTTTACTTTGCCACATGGGAAGAACCTCTTATCCCCCCTAGCAAGGAGAGCGCCCCACCCATGCAGTATGACCCTGATGAGCCTCGGGAATTAAACCGCAGTGTCACTCATAAGGTAACCGTTGTTCTGTTTTTTGTTATCATTCAACTTTTATGGTTTTCATGAATTTTTTTCTTTTATTTCCTATTTTCAAATGCATTATACAAGTTACTAGCCTTCCTTAATAAAACCATCTATTTGTTGCTACAAACAGTTTTGTTTTCTTGTATGGTACTCAGAAGCTAGGATTGAAAGGAATATTGCCATCAAAGACAAATGTTTGAGTGCACAGTTATATGTTTAAATTTTATTTCCTTGTATGGTTTTGTAACAAGATCTGTCTTATTGTCCATGTTACTATGATTTCCGTAGGCTGAAATGAGGTGAAAAAGGTGGCAATGACACTAGTAAATTCTGAGTATAATATGTGAAACAGGAACATGATGTTCTGATTTGGATCATGATGAATACCTTATCATGAATTTTGCAAACAGCTAAATATCCTCAATCGTTAGAAACTGGAAAAAATCATGGCAAAGAAGTATGAATATAAGCTTGTGTAAAATATATCAAATAGGGGGTAGTCAGATTGCATTCTGATTATTGAACTATTTTAAGTTTCAAGTAAGTGAAAGACATAATCTATTGATGTTTTCTTTCGCATTTGTTCTCCAGGACATAATAGAGTTTTTTTCGAAAAACATGGTGAATGAGCACCTCGGAAGTATTTGCAATGCACATGTGGTTCATTCTGACCTTAGCAAACATGGTGCTCAAGATGAGAAATGCATACATCTCGCTAAGTTGGCGGCTATAGCTGTTGATTTCCTAAAACCGGGAAGATCGTGTCAATGCCTGCTGATTTGAAACCGAAACATTACCCTGATTTCATGGGCAAAGAAGAGTTCCAATCGTACAAGTCGAGCAAAATTCTGGGAAGACTTTATCGTCATATCAAAGATGCCTATGAAGATGTCTCTGAATCTTCCCAGCTCAATTTTGATTCTAGTGACATCAATTATGATGCAGATCTTGAAATTACTGGATCTGGTGATTTCATTGCTGATGCATGGGCTAAAAAGTGCTCCTATGATGGACAGCTGGCTGGACTTCTTCAACAGTACAAAGTTAAGAGGGAAGAGGTCGTAACTGGGCATATCTGGTCCATGCCTAAATTGCCAGTAGGAAGTTAGGAGATTTGAAGGAGAAGCTCAGTCATTCTTATGGGTCCCTGAGGAAAGAATTCCGACAACTTTTGAGAATATGGACCCGACTTTGAGCAGCTCAATGAGGATGAAAAAAATGAGTTGTATGAAAGAAAGGCATCTGCATGGTACCAAGTTACTTACCATCCTGAATGGGTCAAGAAGACATTAGAGATACAGAAGACCAATGGTGACGAAGGGGTAGTGATGTTAAGCTTTGCTTGGATTGCTGCTGATTACCTAGCTCGAATAAAAGTTAAGCACCGGGGTTCTGAAAATGTTGACTTTGGAAAGCCTATCAACTCTCTGGTACGGTACCTAGCTGATCGAATATAACCAGTATTCGATTGTTTTGGCAGCAAATTCTTTTGCTGGATCAGACTTTTCTATGTTGCAAAGCCGCTGTCTAAGCCGTTATCATGTGTTGTTGAGTCATATTGTGATTGTTCAAAGACGATTTTCTATGCTTTATGTGGAAGTTTGCTAATATAATTATTTATTTCAATTTCTTACTTTCCTTATATATATATATATATATGATCATGGTATTGTTTCAGTAAGTGAAATTAGCAAGTGATTTTGGTCCTACGCTATACATCTTTGGTTGTCTTTGATGTGCTGATGACATTGGTGGTGACCAAGATTTAAACTTACTATGCATCTCTTACGTTAAGAACAAAATTTGTTCCTATTGTTTGATCTTTCAAGGGCTATGAATCAAGAGGCTTCCCTGCCTGGTTCAATTACCGTGAAACAAGGAACATCCAGTTGTTTTATCCATCAATGACGAGGCTGTTGTTGGCTTTCGTGAAGAACTTGAGGTAGCGTGAAACTTGCCTTATCAGTGGGGAAAAAAAATACTTTCATTGTGCAAAGCATTCAAGATGCTTAAATCAATGCAATCCCCTGAGCAAATCAAACATCCTTCCTCCAATAGTTGCTACTTAGTTTCATTGGTAGCAGTTCTGAAATTGTTTTTTTTTTGAAAATTAGTTTTGATTACAGTTCTAAATTGTAAATCTAATTTCAGCAAAAGAAGCTCTCAAGTTTTATCTTTTTAGGAATAGGAATGGATTTATAATATTAATATAAATTAATATGTTATAGTCTTAAGATTTTAGAAAAAGGAATAGTTGATCTAAAGAACAAACTTTTAGGACAAGATTTCAAAGCAGCTTACAATTTCACGCCATTCAATAAAACAAGAATAACAGATTAATTTAGGAGGCAACAAAAGAAAGAACTTGAGAAAACTGAAAACCAACCACTTTCCAGAACAAGATTTCCGTTTCCATCACGAAATATCCATATCTATTCTAAACATGATGTTCTCAGTGTGTTAATTGCATTTCTTTCTTTCTGGAAGACCCTTTGTACCCCTTTCTTAGCAACAGAAACTTCCAGGGAAAAGATTTGGAAGATAAAGGTATTGCCTCTTTTAAAAATTCTTGCAGGAATTTAAGTAATTTCTTTCCTGGAATTTTGGTTTTGCTGTGGGGATTATAGATGCAATCTTCTGGTCAGACTTCTTCTTCTTCTGCATTTTTTCTATTGCAAGGAATAAAATTTGTACTTTTAACCTGGCAATTATCAAATTTGACTCTTAAGCTTTATTGGTTATAAAACAAAGTTGTTGATGTTTTGTTTGTATGGTTCAAGTTTTCTTTTCTTTTCAAGTGTGGAATCTTTGGATTATGTTTAGTGCTTGTTGTATAAGCGAGCTTATAAACTGAGACGTACAGACTACATGGGGAATGGGGATCGGTTTGGGAAACTTTTCGATTTTTGGGGCATTCGTTGCTTGAAGAATTGGATAGCTGATTGCATGACACAAGAGTTTTGCTTTTGCTTGTGGGATTTGGGGTTCATATGGATCCTAGGTGTTGTTTATTAACCCAGACAAAGAGATGTTTTGGGAAGAAACCATTTGTTCTTTTGCTTTGTTTTCTGGGGCTTATTTACGTGCTCTAACACCCTGCCTAATGGAAGCATTCAAGGATAAATGCAAATCTGTTTTCCGTGTGAGGAACTACTTCTCTCTCATGTTATTCTTTTGCTTGTTTTAGTGTAGAATCAACAATTTATGAGGGCTCATAAATTCTCTGCATTGGAAGTTTAGGAAAATCGGCTCGAGTGATATTCCTAATTGCTTCTTTTTCCTGCACCAGTTTGGTCCCCTGCACTTTGGTTGGAGATTAAGCTGGTGCAATTTGCATTATTTACCTGCACAAACTTGTGTATTAGGGAAAATTGTGTTTGAGTGGTATTTGTTGTTGGACTTTGCTCCTGCACAAATTTGATTACCTACTTGTTGGAGATTAAGCCAGCAAAATTCACATTATTCAGCTGCCTTACGATCGCGTATGTAGTTTATGTCGTGTTGACTCGACAAAATGGTCGCGATTTTACTATGTTTCAAGAGTGACTCCTCATTAATGATGTTCACCATCACAGATCTTGAAGTTCCAATTATTTTGAGATTTTTGTTTTATATGATTATTTCCCTGTTATGGTTGCAAAAACGATGGCTTTTTCTCCCAGATGGTAGATTTAAAGGATTAAGTTGTTATAGATGATTACCAGTACCAATCATGCACTTGGTTAATCCTAGTTTGTAACAGAGCAGAGGTTGTTTCGGGTGCTTCACGAAACCTTCACTGATTACCGCGGTGGATGATCCATCGCAACGTCTAAAGGTTCAGGGCCAGAAAGTGAAGAGATCCAGCTTTTCTGAAGATTTCTGGAATAGCAGTGCATGTGAAATGGAACATAGCGGAGTCCGGTCCCAGAGGAGCATGTCATCGAACAACACATCGAATCTTGATCCTTCTGGCAGCACAAGTCAACCTTCTGAGTTTATAAATCATGGCAAGTCGAGCTATATTAGCTTCTATATAGTACTAAGTTAAATAGCATCCTATTGCTTCATATATTTTCATGTGCTGTTTCAAGTTTTCAGTACCGGACTCTATCTGAAAAGATCAGCCTACCTTTTGGTAATCATATCAAGGAGGTAAAAATCTTCCCATGATGTAACTTCTGCTTGCAGGCCTTCTTCTTTGGAACCAAACAAGGCGACAATGGCTCGGAAATAAGCGGCCTGAGAAACACATGCAGCCTCGAGAAACCACGATAAAGTTAGTAATCTTCATTGTTTTTCCTAATTCCAAAATGCCCTGTGTACATGTTCTTGCAAGTTCTAACCGCCGTTAAAGAGAGGATAACAACCATATTAAGCCTAGTTTGAGTTGTTCATTCTTTGAACTGCAGTTGGAATACGATCTACGAGAGTTTGCACTGCGATTATAAGCCGTTCCCCCGCCCGATTCCGCTTCCCGTAAGTTCTCCTCCGCCTCGTAGCTATTTTCTTACGATATCATCGACCGTCCATCCTCCTCCTATAGTTCATCAAGCCTTTTTGGGTTCACCATGACAGGAAATGGTGGATTTTCTAGTTGATATTTGGGAGCAAGAGGGCTTATAAAGTTAAACTAGATGATGCACAAAATGAGCTACAAGATTACAAAGGGAATATTTTTTCGATTGTAAATTGAATTGTCCTCGAATTGCCAAAGAAAAATGCAATATTTTCCAGCAATGTTATCACGAGTATAATATCATATAATATATTTTAGATATATACAATATAATTGTATAATTTTAAACATTTATCATGCTGCACGAATCAAGTGGCCTTGTGGTAAAGGAATTGTTGTGAATCTTTGAAAACTCGGGTTCAAGCACCGAAAATATTAGGGGTATGAGCATTCAATGTCAAGAAATTAAAAATTATATTCGAACTAATATTGCCTTATACATAAAAAAAATTTATCAAAAAAATCGATAAGTGACTCATGTCCTTTTCAGATTTTTTTTAAAAAAAATTAAATAATTTTGTAAAAAATATATATATAAACGTGGCACGTGTTACTTAACAATATTTTTTAACGATTGACACATAAAAGTATAATAGAAAAAACATTAGATACATATTTTTAGCAAAAAAAAATCTTTAGATATAAAAAATCAATTTTAGATACAATTTAGATACTTATTTTGTATTAAGTCTTAATTTCGTCCCTAATGGAGCTGGATAGTAATTTTTTCTGGGCTTACGTTAGCGGGTCTGATGGCCTAGGGATTCTCGGTGATAATCCGACCGATTTTGTTCGGAATTCTTCCTTGATTCTTTATTCGTTATTCTTTTTATGTTTTCTTTCAATTCATGAGTGTATTGCCGAAGTTGGATTGGAGGCAACTATTCGGTGGGGTAGCAGAGCAATCGCTGGATTTTTATCCTCCGACAGTGAGCGACGACGTTATCACTATACAACCTCCAACGAAGGTCCTTCAAGATGGAATTACTGACTGAGAATTCACGTTGGTGGCTCAATTCATTGGATCTGCCCCGAATTTTGGGATTATGCAGAGACTGATTGAGGTGCTATAAGGGAAGCTCTCTAGGGTTAAGGTAAACTTGACTGGTCAGAATCTCTGCAGAATATAATGGAGTAGTCAATGGGAGAATATATATATTTCATGCACATCAAAATTTGATGAGTTGGTCACACTTTAGAATGTTAGGATAATATAAAGATTATGGCCTAAACTAAAAAAAAAATCAAATTATGTCATTTTTCGTTTTAAGTACCTAAACTAGTTTTTTTGGTTAAACTAAGTTCTTAAACTATTACATGTAACCACTTTAAACACCTAAACTATATTTTAATCAAAATAAATTCCTAAACTATGACTCTTTTTTTAAGCCCCTAAACTATTTTTTAGGCCAAAATAAATACATAATTTTGAATAACGTGTCAAATCTTATTAGGAAAAAAGAACAATATTCTAACTAAAAGAATGACGGGGACTTAAAGTGATTATATATAATAATTTAAAATTTTAGTTCAACCAAAAGATAATTTAAGTACTTAAAGCAACAAAAATGCAAGATTTGAGTACTTGTTTTGACTTCAAGCCAAAGATTATAAAGAAAAGACTAGAGAAGCAGGTCTTTAGCATAATATTTCCCTCATGGGTCTCATGGAGGATTCGTAGTCTAATTGGTTTCAATATTAAAAAATAAAGAGAATCTAGGGAAAATCATTCATGTATTTATAAATGTTCATACCGATGCAAGTGGGAACAGAGTTTAATTAAAACAACAAAAGGAAGGGGACCCTAACCTTTGGTCAAAGGAAGTGCAGAATATATTTATCAACATTCACTTAAATTCAATGAACTTGGAAGAAGAATCTAGGCACCTTCTTAATAAGCAAATAATGTAAGAATTAAATCATGTAAGTGACTTAAAAATTAGGAAAACTCTATAACACTCGGCGAGTATCGCTGAACGTCACTGACGATGAGTACCATTAATTAAAAATCTAAAGGTAAATTATCTAAACAATGAAAAAATTAAGATTTTTAAAATTTAGGGTTGTTATTTGATCCAATTATTGTTAAAAATGATTGTGGTAAATAATATAATTAATATTTTATTTTAAATATTTTACCTTTAAATGTTTAACTAATTGCACGAATCAACTTACCTCAGTGGTTAAATGAATCGTTATTGTTCCTATAGGCCATGGGTTCGAGCACCAGTGGCTGCAGTAGGGTGATTAAGCAATCATTGTCGAATGGTTGAGAGTATTTTAAACAAATATTATTTTGTAATCATCTTAGCTTAATAGAAAAAAATTAACAAATATTTAATTATACGTTGAGTCTTTTAGAATTTTAAATTTTATAAATTAAATTAATAGTACTCAACGATACTCATCTTTAATGATATTCGTCGAACGTGAGAGAGTCATCCTAAAATTTATCAAATAAAATTAATTTATTGCTCATGCACTAAATTATTGTAAACAAAATTACAAACTTATAAAAAATGTAAGAGAAGTGATAATTTTTTATCCACTTATCTTATTCATCATTTCTCTTCTTGTTAAAGCCTTGCCTATAATGTAAAAATATATATGATTATACACATGCACTAAATAATTTTTTTCTTGTTCAAGTCATAAAGTGGTTAATGTATCAAGGGTAAATTGTACATTTAGTGTATGAACTATCAGTTTTGATCCATGTTGAAAACATTTTGATATTTCGATATAACAAATTAAGTTAAATGAATTTTAAGATTGTGCAATAAAGGTTTTCTAAGTATATTTGATATAATTATTCGAATATCAAAACATTACTCTAAATCTTTCAAAAATCATTTTTAATCCTTACTCAAGTGTAAAATTAAGTTTTAATCTTAAAACAATTTCAAAATAATTTTACAAAGTATTTCGAACCATTTCAAAGCCAAAAATTCCAGATTGCTCAGAGGGAACCGATTCCCCCCAAGGGGGTACCGATTCCCCCCTTAATGGTTTGGCTCCGAGAATTCCAGTATGCTCAGAGGGAACCGATTCCCCATAGGGGGTACCGATTCCCCCCACGCTCCAAGTTGTTTTATTAATTGTTTTCACACTAAAACGGCTATATTATCTTCTCTAATCATCCCCAACGTTCAGAAGTGATTCAAGGTGTATTTAAGCAAGCTTAGAAGCCATTGATCAAAAACAAGAAATATCAAGCAACTAGAATCAAGAGAGAATCAAAGAGAAAGCATCAAACCTCAAGTTTGAGCATTTCAAGCCTATTTTTCATTCAATATTCATCTTGCTTTCAAGAACACTTATTGTGCTCAATTGTATTCATTTTTGAGTGTTCTTTTCTTTGTTCTAGAATTGTGCAAACAATCTACCTTGTGGGGATTTCCTTGTAAGTTTGTAAATTTGTATTGTTCTCTTTGGGAGAGAGTGTTCTCAAGAATTTGGGGTATAATTCTTGAGGGTTTGTAAGGTTACTCTTTATCCTCAAAAGAAAGACAAATTAGTGAATTTGTGGAAAATCCTTAGTATGGATAGCTAAGGTAGTGGACATAGACTTTGGTTGAGAAAGTTGAACCACTCTAAATCGCTGTGCAATTTCTTTCAATTTTCTACAAAAGCTTCCACCAAAATTTTTATTGCCAATTCACCCCCTCTTGGTCAATTCCGTCAATCGATTAACTCAACAATTTGTATCAGAGCCTAACTCATTTGAAGGTTTAATCGCCTCTTGAGTCGATTCGGGAAGAGTTATATCGATAATCAAAGTCATCAATGGCCTCTACTTCAAACTTTGACTTCGGGTCTCGATTCGATGTCCGTCAACAAGCCTCTTTTCTTCAATGGGGCTAATTATGCCTATTGGAAAAATAGGATGATGTACTTCATTCAAGCAAGTGACATGGGAGCATGGAATGTCGTAGAAGAAGGATACTTCAAGCCTCTCACTCATCCAAGATTATGGAGTGAATGAGAGACAAAAATGTTCCAGCTCAACTCCAAAGCCATCCATATCATATTTTGTGCTCTTGGACCAGATGAATACGGAAGAGTTTCATCTTGTACAACCGCCAAAGAAATATGGGACAAACTTCAAGTCACTCATGAAGGTACCGATGAGGTAAAGAAATCTAAAATTAGTATTCTAACGCATAGCTATGAAAATTTCAGGATGAAATCAAATGAAGATATCAAAGCTATGACGGATAGATTCTCAACGATTGTCAATGGTCTCAAATCATATAGAGAGATCATTTCAAATGAAAAGCTTGTGAGGAAGTTAGTCTACTCCCTCCCAAAATCGTGGCAATCAAAGAAGACGGCAATCATCGAGTCTAAGGATTTAACATCCTTAACTCTTGAAGAGCTAATCGGTTCACTCCTCACTCATGAAATGATGCTTGAAGATGAGGTGGACCTTAATAAGATTGAAGAGAAACCAAAAGAGAATGAGAAGAAGAAAAAACATTGGAGTTGATCTCAAATCCATAAAAAATTAGAGTGATTCAGATGAAGATGATGAGGAAATAGCATTGTTTGCCAAACGAATCAGAAAAATGACGAGACCTTACCGAGGAAGAAAATTCAAACAAAATGAAGGCCTCAAAAATGAACCAAAAGAGAAGGACTCGATCATTTGCTATGAATGCAAAAAGTCAGGGCATGTCAAATATGATTGCCCACAATTGAAGAGAAAGTGTTAATCAAAGAATAAGCACAAGGCTCATGTGGCTACATGGAGCGATGAAGAAGGTTTCGATAAAGAGGAACAAGAAGTAGCAAACTTGTGCTTAATGGCATTCGGGGAAGATTCTAAGGTAACCTCTAACTCATCTGATTTTGATGATTTATCCTATGATGAGCTATTAGAGGAATATAATGGGTTGGCTTCGGATTATGAGAAATTGTTTTTAAAATATAAAAATGATGTTTCAAAATTGAAAAATGAAAATAAACTCATATCCAAAACCAACAACGATCTTGAAAGTAAAATCAAAGATTTGCAAATCAAACTAGAAGAGTTTGAAAAGAAAAATTTAGATTTGCAAAATTTACTTTCAAAAGTCAATGATGATCATCAAAAGAAAATTGATGATCTTAAAGCTTCTTTTGATAAAGTTGGAACAAAACGTTTTGAAAGTGGAGAAAATTCAAAATCTAACTTTGTTAGAAAAAGTTTTAAAAACTACAATCATAGAGGTCCCCAAAGAACCTCTAATGGAAAAATC